TGTATTCATAAAAAGGGATAAAAATCTAATAATATTAGTTATAATTAGAATAATATAATTTTTTATTATTATTATTATAGCCAACCAAAGTAAAAGCAATTCATAATAGCAGTGACAACACCGTACTAGCGGAGTGGCATCTGAGGACCCCCCTCCCAGGGGTTAAGCTGGCAGTGCCAACCCACCAGGGGAAGGCCGATGGCGCATCCGAAGGCAGGACCGCCTGCTTTGGCTGGATGGGAGTTGCGCCGGGTGGGGATAATGGGTGTGCCAGTCCAGCATCTCCGGAGGGCGCCCAGTTGGGGAAGGGCTCCCGTCAGCGTTGGCATTTGCAGGGCCTGTTGCGCCCAAGCTGGCTGGAGAAGGAAGGTGGGTTCCTCCCTCTGCGATCTGGCCACCCCCCGGGCTCTGATTCTTCTGTCTGCCGCGGCCCTGATTCCCAACCGCCGTTCTCACAACCCGCTGAATCGTGCTCTCCGTCTTAGCCGAGCGGGTTTGTGGAAACCAGCCCGGGTGCTCTTAGGGGTTCCAGCTGATCCACTCCGCTAATTGGGGTGAGGGTGTCGTGCCAACAGAGCCCATCCGGAGTAGAGGCTGAGCTGGGTTTTGGACCCTGGGATAAAGGGTAAATTTCCTGTAGCAGGACCAGAGGGCCTTTGAGCATGTGCAGAGTGCATTTGCTTAGGTTACCTCTACGCAGAGGTGGCAAAGCAGAACCTGAGCGCTGCTCCTCCAGGCTGTGATTTCACTCCCTTCCTTCCTTTCTCAAGACCCGGAACTGGGCCTCTGCGTTTTCAACTTGTCCCCCGTTTAAACTTGGAAAAAAATACTTCAGTTCTTAGGTGCAGATAAGAACAATAGTTCTTAGATACAGAACTATTGAGTTTCTTAATATTGAGTACTAGCTTCTAGATAAGAATTTAAGTTCTTAGTTGTAGATAAGAAAAATACTTAAGTTCTTAGTTGTAATAAGGTCCGATAACCGTTTTATTACTTTATTTTTACAATCTTACTATTTTACTGCTATTTTATTGTATTTTATGGTACGTCATATGTTACGACCTGTGGTTACAACAGTCGGCTTGCTTACTCATCCCGCATTCCCACTGACCTTTACTACTGCCCTACGCCAGGTGGAGCCTTTGAATCCGTAGCCCCGGGGTGTGGTTTTCAGTACTGGCATGTGCAGAATCCTTCAAGGGCTTTAGGAGCAGGTGCAGAGTGCATCCTTTTGTGTCCTAACGGTCACGGAGGCAATAAAATTCATTTGCTTGTCTCTCCCTGCTTTATTCTCTGAGAGGAGGATAGATGTTCCCCCCCCCCCCAGATTATTGCTTTGAGGAGCTGGCCGAGGGAGGAACCCAGAGAGCGTTTGCAGCAATAACGTTGTTCCCGTTTAATGTGCTGGAGAGAAGCTTCGTAACTCCTAGAAGAGCCTCTGTCGAGGCTTCTAAACTGCCGAAAAGGCTCGGGAAGATAATTGGTTTATTTTACGAGGCCGCAACCTTATTTTCAGGGACGTTGGGAAGCAGCGTGCCCTCCGAAGGACCCACGAAAGGGCAGGGCGTCCCGCTTCCCACCTATTTTAGACGCAGCTCATAATGAGAAAGTTGCTTTCACAACTGGGCTGGGAGGCCTCGGGGGCTTGGATTCTGCCTCCAAGCCTCCCCCAGACCCGTGTCCTCCAATTATTCCCCCCCCCATTTCCCTAGATGGAGAAAATGGGAAGAACCCAGCATTTCGATCCCCGTCCAACCTGTTTCCTTTGGGTGAAAAGGAAGTTGCAGGATGGCCGGTAACCTATTTCCCTTTTTTGTAACAAGGGTGCCTGGAAATTAGAGGTCCAACTGTCAGAGCTCTGAGTTTGTGGTGACACTGTCATTACACGGAGATAAACCTTGTGATGCCTCTGAAAAATGCAGGATGGGGAAGTAGGACAGGAAGGTGGGATGGCTTATCAGTGACCTGGAATAAAGAGAAATGCATATTTTAAAAATAGAGACAGGAAACCTGCGTTATGAGCTTGGTTGGAATACCTGCCCTCTGTCTCTCAGCTAGCCCCAAGGTCTTTTCTCCCTAGCATAGAGAAAAGTTACAGGGCAGTTATTTCAAGCAAGCTCCTGACACAGTTTGATGGTTAGTTTTCAGCAATCCTGGCTTGTGGGAGATGCAAGGGTTGCAGAAAGGAGACTCAAGGGCTCATGGTCTCTAGGGAACAGTAGCCCACCCATATGACCTGTGATGCTGAACTGCTGTGATGACTACCATAGGGACCGGGAATTTGTTGTTAAGTGGGGCAGTTGTTAAGTGAGGCATCACGTGACCGCACCCAATTTTACGACCTTTTTGACACAGTCATTAAGCGAATCACCATGGTCGTTAAGTGAGACCGCACCTGTCTGTGACTTCTGAGCTTCTTTGCCAGTTTTCCCATTGACTTTGCTTGTCAGAAGCTGTCTGCGAAGGTTGCAAATGGCAGTCACGTGACCGTGCAACAGTTGCCAAGCACCCAAATCACGATTATTTGACTCTGGGGATGCTGCAGTGGTCCTAAGTGCGAGGACTTGTTGCAAGACACTTTTTTCAGTGCTGAGGTAACTTCAAACAGTTGCTAAATGAATGGTCATAAGTCGAGGACTACCTGTATTGTTATGACCCTTTGGTTCAAAGGTAACTAATTACTTAGCTGCAGAAGTATTGTACTTGTGGGGCTTAGAAATCTCAGCAGTGGCTTAAATCCCATTTTCTTTGGGGAGCTGGCTCTGCCAAAGTTGAATTGCTCAGTGTGGTAGTTTGGCAAGATTTCCTCTTGAAAGAGGCAAAGTTGAAAGTTCTTGCACTGACGCTGAAGATTTAGGGGCATTCGTGCATTCAGTGGCACTGGGAATATTTGGAAGAAGGATCTTTGCCAGAGGCAAATGGAAGACAGAACAGGAGTGATTAACTGGATCAGGATTAACTGTCTGAACTGGACACCGGAGCTAATTAGAGGGGAGGGCCCTGAAAGAGGAGCCAAATGACCAAGAGCCGGAGGAGCAACCGGGGCCAGTTGAGTGGGAGTCCCCTCGTGATTGCTTTCTTATGTGCTTGGTTGCCATTTTATGTTCGGTATTTTATATAATATATTGCTTATGGTTTTTTCTTTGATGTATTGTTTGTTCTGTATGCTGTACGCCGCCCAGAGTCACGCTGGTTGAGTTGGGTGGCCTTGTAAATCTTATAAATGAAAAAAATAGCCCCAGGAAAAAGCTCAGCCCAGTTTCATCCCTGCATCTGTGGTTTAAAAGACCTCTTCCGCAGGGCTGGTTATGGGTGACGTCTGGTGGGGGCTGGAGAGGAGCCACTGACGAATCATCTTCAACCTGTTCAGACCTGAAATCTCTCTTTAACCTAAGCATTTGTGAATCACTATTTAATGTTCACCCTGTATTTATCTTCCTGTGGTGCTGCCAGTTTAGGTCCGGCTGGGATCAGAAAGCAAATTCTGACATCGGCTAAAAAGGCCACGGTTGATAGGGATGAGCTACCCCAAGGACTGCGTTCAGGACCAGTTGATGATCCAGAAGTTGCACGCGCTCTTGAACATAGGCCAGGGTTTCCCAAACGTGGCCCCTTTAAGATCTGTGGACTTCAACTCCCAGAATTCTGGCTGGGAAAACACTGACATAGCCTGATGATGGTGTTGATGATGATTAGTTTGGTTTGTATCCTGGTTTTCCTCCAGGAACTCAAATTGGCACATGGTATAATGTTCTCCTCACTGGTTCTTCCTACAGCAGGAACCTTGTAAGGTAGATTGAACTGAGAAAGTCTTCCAGAAAGCCTCTGCATCTGAAGGGGGACACAAACCTGGGTCTTGTCGTTCCGAGTCCAACACCTTAACCACGGTTCCAGGCAAATAAGCAATAAACTGGACATTCATTCTGACTCCCTGTTTGGATCTGGCAGGAAAACGTGTGAATGTTGTCATTCATCCTCAGGTTATTCTGCATTTGTACACCTTGTCTTTCCAATAACGAAACGAACGGTTACAACTGTGCCCATTCTCCATTTAGCAAAGCCAGCCTCGCAAGAAAATCTGAAATTGCCTTTTAAAAAGTTTATAAAGGAACAACCCACGCCTGGAAAATTAAGGCAAATAGGGAAAATATGTTTGTAGTCTTCTCTGGCAGCGGGAAATCTGGAAATAGAAAGACTGAAGGAGAGTGGTACCCACTCCTTTCCTACCTAGCAGGCACATTTAGAATTAGGAAAGTATTGTGGGTGCTGCTGCAAAATGGCTGGTTTTACGTCTGGTGTTATAACATGCCAAGTAATTTTATTTTATTTATTTATTAAATTTATATGCCACCCATCTCCCCCAGAGGTAATGATACCTGACTCAGGGATAGATAACATGGGTGTTTTGATAGTTGCTTAATCAAAAATCTGAGTCCCAAGCAGAGACAGGCCTGTGCTCCAAAATACATTTGAAACAAATTTTCAGGAACTGGTTCCTACGTGTTTTCGCAGCCAGTCACCCGATGGAGGTCTCCGACATTTGTCCCTCAGCCTCTCAACTAGCAACTTGCCTGCATTATTCCCAGTGCCTCTGGGTTTAGAAACAAGCAATAGCAAACTTGTTTCTCAGGGTTAACAGAGAATCAGGAGCAGGTATGTTCAAAAGCCATGCACTGCCCTCCAAAACCGTCTTCATTTTGAGAACACCTCTGGATCTGGTTGGAGCTGGGGACACTTGGTGGAAAGGACAATCCTATCTGGAAGGCCAGAGGAAGAACTGGGCCGTGAAGGCCAAATATGGATAAACAGTAGTTGAAAAAAGAGGACAGAAGGCTTCATTGACATCATGACTGGTGTCCAACAGCACCATTTGGAAGATTGCAGTCTTAAGAAAGATTTATGGACAGCCTTTTAAAAAATGGCCTTTTAAAAAATGTGGTATTTGTTGCAAGTTGCATTTTCCTCTGTAAACCAAACAGGTTTCCATGGGAAGGTAGCAGGGGGAGGTAGGACCTTTTTCCAGTGGTCCTAATCAAGTTAACAAAGTCATTGGTGGCTGTCAGAGTTAGTAGGAATGTCTCCTAGACTTTAGGATTCTTGAATCCATGTCACTTCCCGCAGGGATGAGAATTCTGTGTCCCTCCAGATCTTGCTGGACTACGGCTCCCAACCCCCTCCCTCTTGTCCCAGGGGCTGAGCTGCTAAGAGTTCTGCTTCATCAACATCTGGAGAACTTCAGTTTCCCCATCCCTAATTTGCTGGTTTCTCAAGGACCATCAGCAAAAGTCAGGTACCCCAAAGTGGTTTATGAAGATGAGCACTGTGAATTAAGGAGATAGGATACCTTTGACTGTGTGCCTAGTGCAGAAATTTATTTTCTAAACCAAATGTGACCTCATAAATACTCACTCTTGATTTTATTCCTCCAGGTTTTCTTATTTAAATCACCCTGAGACAAAATAAAGGGCCTTGTAATTAGTTTGCCATTGACAGAGAGTCAGAATCCTTGCAAGTCCCACCATCTTCCTGGCCCATGTCCCTCATCAGCACAGGGAGAACTCTCTGAACTCAAGATGGCTGAATAACAGCCTTATGCTGGAAACTTGTAACAGGATAAAATACAAGAAGCCTAACTCACAAGTACAAAAGCTTCCTTTCTTAATCACCTAGAAGGGATTTTTCTTTATGATAGACAGCCCAGGGTGAGAAAATTACAACTTTGACCTAATTGGCTCCCCATCTCAGCACGATGAGGCTCGGCTTAATTAGAATAAAGATACTTTTTTCCCATCTGTTCAGTAATTACCCACTTCCTTGCTAGTACAAAGCATGAAAGCTGAACAGCGGGCACTTTGAATGGCACAAGTGGGTTTTGTGGGCAGTGACTGATCTGGTGCATTACGCCTCTTTTAGACCTGTTCTGATTGGTTCTCTCCTTTCTTGTTTCTATTTTCCTCTCTGCCCAACAGGTAGAAAATGTCAAGTTGCTCGATCGTTATACCAACAGGAAGGCGGCAAATGGGACGCTGTATTTGACAGCTACGCATCTGATCTACGTGGACACGTCATCTGAAGTTCGAAAAGAGACATGGGTAATATTGACTATGGCAGGAACTAGTTTCCAGACCACTGAGAACCAAAAGCGTCCTTGTCCACTGAACGCTAATCTGATTTCCACTTTTCTAGTAATGGGCTTCACCTAAACAGTCTGGTTAGTCCCTAACTAGCTGCCTTTTAGATGCTGAAGATTGCAAATTGCAGCATTAACCAGGTTGAAGATGGCTGTGTTTGGCCTGTGGCTCATAAGCAACACTTGAGCATGGGATCCTTGATGGATCAGACCAACTATGTTTAATCAAGAGCAGAGCATGAAGACCTTGAAAATCTATTGCTTGATTTTCAGCCCATTGTGTTTGGAAACATATTCTGCAGTGCTGTTATTCAAAGTTTGAACATGCAAGATCACTTTTTTTAAAAGAAATGACTGTCAGTTAAGACTCTCTATGTCAGCCCTTCGAGGTAGACCAGACTAGGAAACCAAAGTTATGAACGCTAATACTACTTTTATTATAAGGTTACAGTAACAGAATTTTGCAAGTCTGAATACGCCTCCCTTTATCTTCCAGAGAACTAAGGAGGGTCAAGCCAGAGATGTTTTCTTAAACTACATTTCTGTCTCAGACTCAAATTTCTTTTATCAGACCATTGTCTTGGTTGTGGCTCTTCCTCCTGCTCCTCAAGGTCATTCCTACAGCCTCAATACAGTTGAACACATCAGATTTGATTGGGAAGAAGCACTTTGGAACGCACACAGACTTTAGGGACTTGCAGACTGGCTGGTGCACCAGCGCATTCCAAGCCCGTCCCCCCAATTGAATCCAGAGCATTGTGCAACCCAGGGGTGTCCAGATGGAGCTTTGATCACACCCTCACGGCCACCATTTCAACTTTGATGACCATACTCTGCATACCCCCCTGTTCCAATCAATTAACTGAGATCAAAGCCTATATTCTTAAAGATTCGCTGATGAGGTTTAGCATACTGCCAAACTAGTATTGACAAGCTGGCATAAAGATGTGATAGGTATAGAGTTCATTGTTCCCTCTTCATTTTCATCCCTGCATTATCTAAGCCAGTGTTTCTCAACCTTGGGCGCTTTAAGCGGTGTGGACTACAACTCCCAGAATTCCCCAGCCAG